TAATAAATCATTTATTTTGATTTCTAATTAATTTATTAACTATATAAAAAATTAACAAATCAGTCTCTTTCTCTAAATAACAATCCAATCAATTACTAGGTTTGAGGGCAACCCAAAATGACTTTGCTAATAAATCAAGTTTATACTAATTTAGTTATTGGCTTAGACACCTAATCCAACAGCCGACACGCGTATCAATGTCATGTATTGTAATTCAGTCAAGCTCTATCAAACATATTCTTTCCCAAGCAATAAACAATGTCAACCATACCTTTTCTATTCAATCTCGACATGGACAGCTTAATGCTTCAAGTCGGCCATAACCGTGACGCCTGCATACTCAAACACCAAGAAGCACTAGTATAATTTGAATTGGGATGACGAAAACTCAAAAGAAATTTTTCAGTACCTTTTATATGATATCAAATACATCATAACTTCATCTTGTTGGAAAGAGCAGAATTAAAGAGACTATATGGCTAAATGTTGCACAAGATTGGATTAAAGAAAACATTGTGGTTATGCAGACAGTCTACCATCAACTTGCTTCTAACAACTTTCTTCTACAAACACATACATGATAAAAGAACCTCCATCAGTCACACATGCTGATCGGCACCCTGCGGTTCATCACCACAGATTGGCATCACTAAGTGTCGCCATCGGTCGATGCCATGGTTCGACCTACAAAGCCACCATGTTTCATCATCGTGGTTCGGCATAATGAGTCATCATCAGATCAGTGCCATGATTCGACCTAATAAGTTGCTCGTGGTTCATCACCATGGATCGGCATCATTAAGTGTCACCATTGGTCGATTCCATGGTTCGACCTACAAAGCCACAATGTTTCATCATCATGGTTCGACCTAATGAGTCACCATCGGCCGATGCCATGGTTCGACCTATAAATCAACCATGTTTCATCATCATGGTTCGACATAATGAGTCACTATCAGCCGATGCCATGGTTCAACCTACAAAGCCACCATGTCTCATCACCGTGGTTTGGCATAATGAATCACCATCGGCTCAGTGCCATCGTTCGACCTAATAATTTGTTTGTTGTTCATCACCATGGATCGACATCTTTAAGTGTCGCCATTGGTCGATGCCATGGTTCAACCTACAAAGCCACCATGGCTCATCACCATGGTATGTTATAGTGAGTCACCATCAACTCACTGCCATGGTTCGACCTAAAAAAAGCCACCATGGTTTGGCATAATAAAGCCACCATGGTTCTCATAACATGATCCGACATAATAAAACCATCATGGTTCACACACCCTAGTTTGACATTAAAAAGTCGCTATGGTTCTTACATCAGGGTTCAACATAGGATCGCAACTAGTCGAAAAAAAATCGAAACAACATTTATCAAAACAAGACTCGTCCTAAAACGGATAAGTGTAAACACAGAAAGTTATGGTTAGCACCGTAACTAACCAACATCCAAAATTGTGCTATAACTCAGCATAGTATATGTCCGAAGCAGGACAAGATATCGACCCGTTCCAAATTTAGAGTTGAGGGACTTAGTGGACAGTTCCCTTCTTATGGCGATGTGATCGACGATTAGTTTCTCGACACTATTGGTTATATACAACACATTTGATTTATGCAAAGTTCACGATCACGCAAAGACATGTTAAATAAATAACATTGTCAGACAGAGTATATCGTGGCTTTAATCTTGTTCATGTACACTTGAAAAATGATGAACAATGCCACTTCCCCGACCCAGCTCAATAAAGATATTTGATTGCGTATGCGGCTAGTATAAGTCTAATCAGGACCAGACATTGAATCGTTCCAACTTCAGATTTAGGGGACTTAATGATGTATATATCTCACCGGTCCTTTTTCCAAGTTCGAGTATACGTTGTTCGATTAAATATGGTTTGATAACCAGGTTCAGTCCGGCCATTCAAGTTGGGTTTGGTCTTCTGCTGATGGTTCGATTCAACCATTCATGTTCGGTTCGGTCTTCTATTGATGGTTCGGTTCATCCATTCAAGTTCGGTTCGGCCATCCAGGTTCAGTTCGGTCTTCTGCTGATGGTTTTGTTCAACCATTCAAGTTTGGTTCAGCCTTTCGCTGATAGTTCGGTTCGGCCATTCGGCCAACCAGATTCGGTTCGGTAATACGTTATGCTCCTTCCTAAGACAAAAGGTACACCAGTCAGCTCAATCATCTCAGGAACAACTGATAAGCTTTATACCCAAGGAAAAGGTACATCCGACTGTATATATACCTCTCAACACACACCCAAAGGTAATCTAAATAACTCTCTCTCTCTCTCTCTCTCTCTTTCTTTTTCTCTCTCTATCATATGCAAAACACAAACACACTTATTTAATTAATTGAATTCGAGTTACAATCATTGACTGATTTAACTATTGGAGAGTTCTCTCTGGACTCGTTCCCGGGGAACTCGTAACTGGTTGTGTTGTATTTCAGGTACAAAATTTTGGATCTCTCTAGCATCGTCGGGTTCGATACCTTTATGGAGACCTAAAAAATCTTAGATTCATCAGTTATGACACTTAATATAAAGGATATTGGTGTCTAGATTTTCCTACTTCTCGGATTTATACAACTCGTTATGCTAATTTGATGAAACAAGTTTCCCATTTTCCGGTCACGTTGAACCCATCGATCTGGCCGCCTTACTTTTCTCAAGTAATTGTGTTGGTCCACCGATTTTTGCTACCGACTCTACAGCTCAGAAGCTTGGACATGCCTATACCAAGTATCACGTTCCTCAGCCTACTGGGCCTGCTAAAGATTCCTTTTCCACCGATCTAGCTCATTTAGCCTCATCATAATTTGGGTCGTCTGTTTCGACCAATTCAGTGGGTCATTGCTCTTCAACTGCTGTCTCCCGCTCTAGTTGTGAATCTGAGTAGTGTGATGTGGCAAATACAACCACTAAGAATGTCTGGGCCACTCATATTTTTTGTGAGCTTCATGTCTTACCTCCTGATCGTCCGACCCTTCTCTGTAATAACAGAAGTGCCATCTTTCTCAGTCAGAATCTAGTTTCTAACAAAAGAGCCAAACATATTGATATTGATTACCATTTTGTTTAAGAACTACTTGCCTCTGGTAAATTACACACTAGGTTTGTTCCTACCCGGTTGCAAGTGGTAGATATTTTCACCAAGAGTCTTCCAAAGCCGTTATTTGAGCATTTTCATCACAAACTTTGTGTTGGACCACCACCCATGCGATTGAGGGTGGGTATTAGCGATAAAGATATAGCTAGCATTATCCCTTAGTATTCTTATCGGGAAATCTCCAATAACTTCCTAATATTTTGGGCCAGTTTACATTTTAATCCCTACTTTTATTTTTTGAACCGAAAAGTCCCAATTATTTTATATTTTGCCTAAATTAACGAAACAGTCCTTATTTCTTTTCAACAAAAAATGACATACTATCGTATAAAGTTAGATAATCGAGACTTTTCTGTTCAAAAAATAAATATTGGGATTAAACCGTAAACTGACCCAAAATATTGAGACTTTATCAGAGGTTTCTCTATTCTTATCATGTATATTTAAACTTAGGGTTTAATCTTTTCAAATGTATATTATTTATTTGTAATTGTATTATATATACTCAATAAGAATTCTCTCCACAATTGTGTCGAGAATTACAAGCATTACAACGGGTTTATAAAAAAAACCCTGCAAAATCGAAGGGGTTTCCTGAAGCTCATCGGAGAAGATGAAGGGTTTATAGATCTGAGACGATGAAGTACAAATTTGAAGGAGGTGTCTCGTCGTCGATGCCACCCTCACCCGGTTCACGCTATCCCATATGAACAACACACTCTACTACAACCTCGCCATTAACATGACATTCATAAACCTTAACTACCGATTGGGGATCTACTACGATTGAATCGAGGCCAACTCGATGTACCATCCAAAGATTTCCAATGATAAAGGTTTAAGGGTTTTATTTAGGGCATAAGAAGGAGACCACTCAGCCCTTGTGGCCATGGAGGTTCGCCTGCAGTGACTCCAGGTCATGAGGCAAAGCTTCATGTTTGCAGCGGGGGATTAGTCGGTGCGCGAAAGCTGGAGCGGAAACCCTCGTTAGGGAAGTTCCCTTTCCAAAAAAAAAAAGGAGAATAATGTATTAATGTATGGTAAAACTTACACAAGTGATGATTCATGTAATTTAAATAATATATGGAAAAACTTACGAGTGACGATTCATGTAATTTACTCATATATCTATTATGGTAAAACTTTTCAATAAGCTTATAAACTTATAATTGAATAAATGCAGAACTTGAAAAATAGCTTGTTAATAAAAGAAAAAAAAACTCTTTATTTTTTCAAAAATATATACTATCATGTATACTTTAGCTTGTGGGAAAATGAATTATAAACGCAACGAAGTTCCAAACCGTTCAAAAAACACCAATTATGTTTTGTCTGTTCAAGAAAACTCAACAAACTTAACCTTTTGTCTAAAAAGTCCAACTAACTTATACTTCTCATTTAGGGTCAACCGTCTAATGAAAGTCAATGAATGACATGACTTATGACCCCAATCATGTTTTGTTTGTTGAAAAAAGATGATTGGGGTTTTTGAATGGTTTTGAAACTTCGTTGGTCTTACAAGTAATTTTCCGATATTTAATTACACGTCATAAGCCATGTCATTCGTTGACTTTAATTAGCCGGTTGACCCTAAATAGGAAGCGAACGAAAGTGTAGTTCGTTGGATTTTCTTGAACAGAAAAAACATAAGTGTAAGTTAGTTAGTTGGACAAAGTGTAAGTTCATTTGAACTTTTTTAGACTTTTTTAGACAAAACATAAGTGTAAGTTAGTTAGATTTTCTTGAACGAAAGTGTAAGTTAGTTGGACTTTTTTTTTTTAGACAAAATGTTAGTTCGTTGAATTTTGAAAAGACAAAACATAATTGGGTTTTTTGAGCTGTTCTAAAACTTAGATGACCTTTTAAGTCATTGTTTAACGGCTGCAAGTGCTGGCAGCTGCTAATGTTGGTTCTCCGGCGCGTTCTTCCAAAGTCCAATCTTCCTCCGCCAATTCTAACTGAGAACTGCAAACATCAAGTACTTAATCACCTGTAAGATGAGACTGAAAACCGATGATTTATTGCAAACAGTCAGCAGATCTCATATGCAGTCTCAAAAATCAATACAAATCGATCAAAGAAATCCACCAAATCCATTCCCAACTAATCACCAGAGGACTTCTTTCTCTCCACCCTTCATCCGCCTCCTACCTACACGCCACCATCCTCCATACCTTCAACTCCGTCATCTCTGCCCCTCCACAGCCGCCGCATCGTCATCAGCCCATTTCAATCCACTACCCCCTTTCTATATTCAACCTCATCAGCAACCCTTCGATTTTTTGTTGGAACACCATCATTCGTTCCCATACTCTCCTCTCTTTACCTGAAAATGCGGTTTTCTTCTTTATCAGAATGCGGCGGCGATGTGTTCGTCCAGACGCTCACACCTTTCCTTTCGTTCTAAAAGCTTGCGCACAACTCCGTGAACTTTCCCTTGCAAAAACCATCCAGTCTCAGTCGTTGAAGTTCGGGTTCACGACCGACGTATTCGTCTGTAACAATCTTATTCACGTGTATTGTCACTGTGGTCTTATCGATGATGCGTACAAGGTGTTCGACGAAAGTGCTCACAGAGATGTTGTATCCCACAATGTAATCCTTGATGGGTTAGTGAAGGCTGGGGAAACCAAACGTGCTCGTCAAGTGTTTGAAGAAATGCCAACTAGGGATTCAGCAACATGGGGCACAATGTTGTCTGGTTATACACAAACGAAACACTACAACGAGTGCTTAGATCTATACGATCAAATGCTTCTTCTAGGGATCCATCCCGACAACACATCATTGGTTTCTGTTCTCTCCTCCTGTTCACGATTAGGGAAATTAGAAAAAGGTAAAGAAGTTCATGATTATATCAAACATAGTAAGATTCAAATAGATTCGTTCTTGTGTACAGCATTAGTGGATTTCTACTCCAAATGTGGTTGCATAGAGATAGCCATGGAGATATTTGAAGCAACATCTGACAAGAATCTGTTCACCTGGAATGCAATGCTTGTTGGGTTAGCTATAAACAGTCATGGCAAAATGTTACTAACCTTTTTCTCGAAAATGGTGAAGAACAGAATCAAACCAGATGGGGTGACGTTTCTTGGTGTTCTGTTGGGGTGTAGTCATGCTGGTTTAATCGATGAAGCAAGAACACTGTTTGCGGAGATGGAGGTCGTCTATGGAGTTCCTAAAGAGCTGAAACATTATGGATCCATGGCGGATTTACTTGGAAGAGGTGGTTTGATAAAAGAAGCGATGGAGATGATAGAGAGTATGCCAATGTCGGGTGATGTTTTTGTTTGGGGGAGTTTGCTTGGAGGGTGTAAACTCCATGGAAACGTTGAAGTTGCAGAGAAAGCTGCCGAGTGTATTATGGAGATTAGTCCTGAAGATGGTGGAGTTTATTCAACAATGGCTGATATTTATGCAAATGCAAAACGTTGGGATGATTTAACGAAGATTAGGAGGTTGAGAGATTCAAGGAGGGTGAAGAAGAATGCTGGATGCAGTTTGATCGAATTGAATGGTGTTAGTCATGAGTTTGTTTCGGGTGATGATTTGCATCCGAGAACTCATGACATTTATTTGGTTTTAAATGCTATTTCTCAACACCAATTCGAAGTCCAAATTTAGGGTTAAAGAATGAACAGCAACAACATAGGGGGATTGATGTCTACAGTTATGTTTCTAACAGGGATAGAATAACTTTGTCACATAAATTATTATATTAATTTGGCATGTGCAAAAATCTATGGTTGAGAAGTTATTTCTATTTTCAACCTTTGATAAAGGATATATCATATATAGTTTATAAAGATCTTACTAAAACAAAACATAGCTTCATGTTTACTGTTGAAGAAAATGGGTATCTTATTCTCTTACGTTGCTTCTATATTAAATGTTATGCTTGTTACGATTCCAAAATACTATATTAAATTTATTCTTTCAAGCCAACTTTGTGAATTGTTGGGTGAAAGGAAATAAATAGAACTAGAATTAGCAAGAGAATAAAATTTTATGTTGTTTTGTAATCGGAAATGATTCTCTATTCATTCCATTTCATTTGATAAAACAAATATCTCTATCATAATATTTATTAAATTTCAGTTTTTATTGTTCACACAAAGACAAAGACGTGATATTAAAACAAACAAACAAACAAAAAAGAAAATCTCCAAATGGTCCAACATATTTTCATGTAACCCTGAACTTCCTAGCTTGTTGATAAACAACAAAAGGAGAAGAATAAGAATCAATAGATAGCCCACAACCACAAGAAAAAGGAAACCAATTGAACCCTCAAGATGACTTCTAATTTCCAAAAATATCCATTTTTTCTTTCTAAAAAAATATATATTTTGGAAAAGAATCGAACTCATGCTTATATATGCATTTACTTGTAGGTGCGAGTGCACACAACCAATGGGAATGGAGAAAAGAAAGCTTAAAATTCTTTGTTGGTTACTCATGATTCTTTGTTTAGCCCAAATCCCATCAAGATTGGCTCTTGAAAACATAAGAATTGCACATTCAAAAAGTCTAAGGGCTCTAGTCCAAGAATCTCAAGGTAATACTCGTTTATTTTAAGCATATTGATAAGATATTATCGTGTAAAGATCATATGATTTCTATACAGGTTTAAGGATAATGACTTTGAATGGCAACAGAGAACTCCTAGAACAAGATGCTGTGATGTTAGCAAAGGGACAAAAAGGAGGAAGGGGAAGCGGAGGTGGAACCATTGATCGTGTTCCTCATAAAAGCAAGTCATCGAATGAAGCCCCTCGTCAATTGGGAATATTTGTTGTGGGTGTTAGTTTTTGTATTCTTCAATTTATAGTATCATAAATATATTTTCATTATAAAGAGTTTTATAATCTATGATGTTTTGGGGGTTTGTTTGTTCAAGAACATTAGTTGTATTAGACTATGGCTTGGTGTTCGTTTCTTTAAGGAGAACTGTAGCTATTTTGTAATTTTGTCTAGCTTCTTGTTAGTGCGTTATTTATTTATTTATTTTTGTCGTTCGAAAAAAAAAAGACCCCATACTCCCATTAGAATGAGATAAATCAAAGATAGATGTCAACAATCATATCTCAATGAGATGGTGGTAGAACAACCGTTTAACAAGTTCATATGTATAACCTTTTACCTATGAAAACATGAACCTATAAATGGGAAAAAAACAATTAATAAGACATACTCATTGTGTGTTCTCTATATATATTTTTTTGTGTGGTTTTCATTTGCAAACAAATTGAATTGTATTATTGGATTCTCTTTCATTTTTATACTTTAAACAAAATCAAATATGTATGTATTTTTAAGATAAATTCTATTTTTTATCGGTGTTTAAAAACTCGACATAATTGATCGAGTATTCGGAATCAGAGAAAATCGGTCTAACTAGGTCAAATCTGTCAAACTCGGAATTTGATTTTTTTTAAATAAACAACTATAATTGTTAAGTAATTAGTTTAACATACATCATACATTTAGATGTTGTATGTTTTTTGTCTGCAGATCTTCTTGGCCTCTTCTGTCTGCGCCGCGTAGACCACGTGCATACATGAGGCTTCCCAGACTGTTTTTTTAAAGGCTGTAGTCCTAAAAAGGTTTGTGCGTCCTCTTCTTGACGCAAATGTGAACCAGAGTCTTCAAACCTGTTCAGACATCTTCTAACCTAAAAAACACATATATCTTAGGTTTTTTTTTGTTTTTTTTATTTATTTTTTTTAACTTATATTTTTTTCCAACTTTATCTATAATAAACAATTTGAAAAAAAAAAAGAGTTGCAATACTTAAAGAAAAAATGTGCGACGACACAATCATGACTTTTATGACAAATTTATAAATAAAACTTTAATTACAATAATTGTCGTTAGAGCTGTTTACATAGATATGAAAAAAAATCGTAATATCGTCTTATTTTTTTGTGTCAAATTTTATAAAACATTATTTAATGCAATATCATTCATTTCTTGGAATAAATACTTATGACCAATTTTCAATTGATTTAATTGAAAGGGTAAAATGAAAATTTTGAAATTTTCATTTAAAATCAAAGTTTCTTTCCATCCATTTTACGTGTTAAATTCTTTTATCCTTAATTACAATGTTTATGTATATCTTTGTGACAAAAGTTTGTTGATTTTTATCAAATATATACATTAATTCATACCATTTTATTTTCACTTTTTATATAATAATACATAAAAGTCGATCTACATTTCTTAATTATCTATAATAAAGTCATAAAATTATTCAAAAACTCTTTTAAGTTTTTTTTAAAAAAATTGGTTTAATTAGATTTTAGTTAATTCTAGCATCCTGCAGATGTTAAAAAACAAACAGTCTTCTTCTTTCAGACTGCAGACGTTTGGTACACATCTTTTACTGTAGAGGTCTGCACATGTGGTCCACAGAATGCAGACATTTTGCCTCAGAAAAAGCAAACATCGCCTTAGTTATTTGTAAACATCATGTTGTTTATTTTTTTATTTTTTCAGTTTAATAGAAATTTGGTGGAAAAGAACAAAAAACAGAAGGCTAATAATTATTTTTTTTAAAACGGCAAACTAACAAACATACTCTCCTAAATATCACCTATGTCTTCACCGAGACTTGAACACATAACCTTTCATTTGACAAAGTCGCTCCTTATCGATAGGTCATTGGTCATTTGGTTACTAATGATTAAATGATTAGTCTAGTGTTAAATAATGAATACCAAAATTTTAAAGTTTAACACTAAACATTTGAACACGTATTTTTGCTATTGATATTTATATATTTTGTTATAAATTTTAATAAACTCATGATA